CATATAATTCTTTACCTTAATTCTACGTGTGGGAACGGCTGCAAATTAGCCGTATGGCTAAGCATATTTACCTCATAAAATGTGTCCTATGTCCTGATAAATAACACATGTAAGTTCCAACTCAGTATTACTGGAATGGTCGAAAATCAATTGTCCAGGATTAATTGATTTCGGCACATTATTTAATGTCAAAGAGTTTCATGTCTGCCTAGTATACATCGGATTATTTAACTGTTTCATCGTTTTTTTTATTTTCATTCTTCGTAAAGAACTTTCACCTGACCCGGAAGGTTACTAGAATCAATCCATTCCCGGCCATAATACTTTGATCCATAAAGTTTGAAGGGCACGCTTGGGAAGTAGACATTTTTGTATTCATCTCCTTTGTTTTGCCATTGATACCACAGTTTGTCCATAAATGAATGGTGAAGAAACAGTTCTGGGGCATTTGCCGCTGTTAGAGGATCCATCATTGTACCACCGATTGCGTTGTGAGGCAACACGTGATAGTCTGTACGGACAGTTTCTTCAAATTGTTCGAACTCTTCCAGGGGTAGCGATAAAGTTTTCTTCACGTGATCAATATCGTAGAGAAGGCTGTCTTTCGTAAAATTCCTTTTTAAACACCCTCCTCCGGACACGTCTAAGAGACGCCATTTATCTTTGCTGAAAACTCCGTCCTCCACACAGTTGTCATCGTTATCACTTCCATCTCCTCCTAAACCATGATCATCAGGGTTCCAAAGGTCTTCGTCACCAGTTCCTCTCCACCAATGATGAGTGTTTTTGCTCCAATCCCAGTAGGGTAAAGTCACACGACAGTCGATTCTGCGCAGTACGTTTTCCATCTCAACCAAAAACCACCGGTGAAAGGGCAAAAAGACTTCAGGAACTTTTTCTTGATCTCCGGCGGTGTTGTGGAGAGCTATCAATTTCTCATAATCTTTCTTAACCACAGGATGGACCGATGCCAGCTTATAAGTGTTAATATAACGTTTTCTGTCCTCGATGGTCATTTTGGTAAAATCCTTTCTTACGCGGTAACAGCTGGTAAGTTTACCTTTCTTACATTCACAACGCTCTTCACACGTGTTCAACATGAAACTTCCTTCCTTGCACTCCATTGGACTTGAATCGTTAGTGTCCTTTTCTGAATGGCCCGCCTCAAAAACGATCCAGGCATTACTAAGACAAACAATGAACCAATAATGACGAAGCCTCATTGGGTTGACTGCAACAAAAAATGGTTGAGAAATTTTAACGGTAATTGTCTAATAGTAATGTTTCATTTTAAAAGCTGTTCTTTACAGAAGAATTTCCTCCTCTCTTTGGTAGGGGAAAGGGAAAGAGGCAAGCCACCGACGATCCTTCTTTTTCACCGTCTTCAGGAGTTTTTCAAGATGTTTTCGAAAATTTGGTCAAAACAGAATATCTACTTTCTTAGAAAAGGGAGGCTTCCTGAAAGTAAGGTGGTTCTCTCTGAATTGTTTAATTGTCCATTACTGTTTAATTCTCCATGTATGTCAGTGGTCTGAGCGTATGTATCTTTGTGGCTTTGTATGTTCGGATGTCTGTTGCAAGGGCCGATAAGGTTGAAGGTACTATGAGTTGATGGGTAGTGTAGGAACGAATGAGATTTTGGCATATCTAACATGACATTGCTTAAGGTCAAACAGGGACACTGTGAGACCGCTATCTTGATTCTGCACAATTTTTTCGTCTTTGATTAAGGCTAAAGGTGTTTAGAAGCACAATATTGAAATATCTTTATGATTCAAACTCTGAGTACAGTGATGCAGCTGTCTGAGGGTCCATACATATACTTTAGTGTGGGAGCTGCTTCAAGACTTTCTTACCTAATTCGACTATCGCGAACGGTACAACGCACGTATCTCATAATTTATGAGTTGTGTTTCACCTGCTTCTTGGTAGAGTTTAAAAGATCATATATTTTTCAAATTTCTTCCAATGAACAACAATTAAAGTTTAGATATGGACTTTAATTCGGGAGCATGCAGCCTATAAATTGTGCGGGTTTTAGAAGTTTGAAAGGCAATAAGGCGAGTATTGTTAATCCTGTAAACAAGCCTTAATCTCTCGCTTACAAAGTTCAACAGACCTTTTTCGTACCGCCCCCCCCCAACCCCCCAAAAAAACATGAATTTGGTGAACAACATGAAACATGTTTACTGCCTTCACGTGCAAATTGTATGCTTGAGTTATTTTTATAACCCTGTTTCCTGGATTACTGTGTGATAACTCGCATTCCCTCACGTATGAATCACGAAAGGGGCAAAGTCCAGCACTTTCACGTGCAAACTGTGTGACTGTATATCTCACACAGACTGGCTTTTCACAGTAATAATAGTAACTTGAACGTATGAAGACCTCTTTAGTTTCGTAACTAGTGCCTTAAGTTAAAGCTCTTTTCTTTTAAGAATCAATACCTTTTAGAATCAAGTCGTCAGAGTTTAAGACCGTTTCATTAAGTAGAATCGCATGTGACAACCTCGTGAATAATGATGATGCAACCATCTACAACAACGATGAAAATCGTGTCATTTCTTAGCTTCTCGGTATTCGACCAGCTTCATTATCTTAAGAATGTATGAAGAAACCTTGAAACCTTCGAGTCTTCCCTCTAAGCAACTTTTGGTTAGTTGATATTCATAGGACTTTAACAATTTGTTTATTTTGCAAGGAAAGACAAAGAAAAGTGAATCTATTGTATGAGCATCGACTCAGCTGTTGGCAGCGGTTCGCGTTTTCAATAATGCACAGCAATACCCAATTTCGCACAAAAAATAGTCTTAATTTAGGATTAAAACAGTAGATTGTAAATACGGTTACACTGAAGCATTCAAAATGGCTCTTGCACGTTAAACGTGCCTATGTTTTTTCCTGTGAATGTGTCCAGTGAATTTCATCTTTCCCTTTTCTGAAGTATATTTGAAATAATTCATTTGTTTTTTCATTTTTGAACTGCGGTTGTAGTTGAAGGTGAAGAATGATCATCGCAGTAAATTTTCCAATTTAAGCAATTGGAAAGAAGAAGCCTGAAAAAATTCAGGGCTTCAACGGGATTCGAACCCGTGTCCTCCGCGTTACCGGTGCGTTGCTTTGCCAACTGAGCTATGAAGCCACACAGTGGGAGCGAGGTCAAGTTATTGTTGAAAGATCTTTTGACTCAGTTATACTACTGCTTGAGAAATTTCTGCAATTTGATTGACTTAGAGCAGTGGCATTTCAGCTTAATTTGAAATAACTACATGTGAAAATTACAAACTTTTTGGGAGTAGTAGTGTAAACAAATAATAGCACGATTTTGTGCGTGATATGAGGCATAAATACCACTCATGATATTTCAAAATTGTCTCAAATTTCACTAACGGCTCGTGAAATTACGTATAACAATCTCGAAATAACACTCGTGGTATTAATGCTTAATATCACTACAAATCATGCTATTAACTAGACTAATCTCCGATCCCTTAACTACCTTATTCTTACTAATTTACGCTCATTTACATTCGCTTGGTAAATAACGAACACGTACTAGACTAGAGAGTGTATGAGAGTTGCTAAAACTCAACCAGACCTCAAGGTAAGCTCCCGGGGGGTACTGCCATATATGGGCTATATGGGCATGTGCCGCTGTGAAGGGTATGGTTTTCAAGCAGTTTAGGATAGGGTATATAAATCAGAGCGTTTGGGTCTAGAATAGGGTATCATTTTTCAGGAAACTGATCAGTTGGTTGAAGATTTTATCTAGACAGGAGCCCATCTGATCTAGACTGAGGAAACAGCTACTCTAGGATAGGGGGATTTGGGGAGTTTACTCTAGTATAGGGCAGAAAAACTCAGCTGAACTAGCTCTGGTATAGGTCAAGGGTTCCAGGGTCCCAGCGGCACTTCCCCACCCAGAAATTCCTAAAGTGCCCCCCCCCGGGGGTAAGCTTAAGACATCCTAGTGGAACCCGACTGATACAAAAGTCAACTCGGGCATTGAGGGCAAGATGGCGAAAGAGTGAAGATGATGTGAACTGCATTTAAAAGATGGGGAAAGGTAGACAACGTAACTGAGTTATTGATCTAAAGTTTGGACAGTTGGGCTTTCAAAGATCGGGCAGTCGTCTCAATAACAGAGATGATATAGATTTACCGAGAAAAGTCAAGAGAGAATTGCAGGGCCATGTTTGTCATTTACAGGCCAGGTACTTAGAGGAAAAGTAAGAAACCGGCAAGTTGAGTGCAAGGGAAAGCGACAATTGCAACAAAGGGGTATAGACGGTATAGAATGGTACCTCGAGAAACGTGGGTCTCGGAAAATTTTACCCAATCTCGAAATCTCGGATTTGAAGTGTTTGTGATGGGTCTTGAACTCTTTTTCGGGTGACTTTTGGGTCTCAGAGTTTTGATTTTTTTTTGGCCGAAGGGCCTCGGAGGATTTTTCAGTTTTTTCTTTTCATTTGGTCTTCCGGAGTCGAATTTTTCAGAGTTCACGGGTCCAGCTAATCGAACTGGACCAGTTGATTGAGACAGAAAAACAAGACAGTGGCGCACAATTCATCCTCGGAGACCCAGGGGCAAATCTTTACTTTCTTCGCGCCATTTAATGAACATAAGTGCCTTCTTGTGGTTGGAGTTCCTCTCCAAGCTTTTCAGGCCTGGCCCTTCATCAGTGAAGTTACAAGTACGTTAGAAACGTTGCAAGGTTTCCATTAGTCTGTCCTCCCCACAAGCAGACTAGGTTTCCATACGCCATGAAAGAAAAAAATAAACGCTAAAAAAAAACTTCATAGTGCGCGCGCGATTCTGCGCGCGGCCTAGAGGAAATGGAAGTCGGAATTTACCATTAGGGTTCTATTAAGGAAGCCATTTTACTCGCCAGCGGTTGTTAGTTATCTGTATACCTTAAGATACAAGTTAAATGGTAAACTAAAAATACTGGAAATATCTTTTTTAAATTGCAAATCAACATACCTTTAAAAAACAGCGGTGCTTCTTCTCGCGAATTTATGTGTTTTGACCGCCTTGTCAGAGTTGCAAGTGTTATAATTTGTTTTGGTTATCTGCTTTAAAAAAGTAAATGTCATGAACAAAGCATAAATGATTTTCTATAACCTAGCAACATCTTTTTTTTGTAATAATTTATACATGTGGAGTACATTGAGCTAACTTGGCTGAAAAAAAAAACGATTAAAAGTAGTTCCTCGAGGCTGCTAAATGGGAAAGAAAACTGGTGAAAGTAACGCGATCTGAAGGAAAAGCTGGCCCTGGTGTGGTCGACGCAGCGCCCACTTTGCTTTATGACGACAATCCAGCGGCCCGTTACTCGGAAGTCTCGATAACTTTTCGGTCCCGAAAAGCTGTTTTATGTTTGCCGTGTTTGCATTTAATAAAATTTTCAGTTAACAAAGCAAAATTGGCCGTTTGTAAGCTAGGAACTGTGCTATTATACAACAGGTTTTGATTTAAAAATTTGCATTCGGACCCAAAAAGTTACCGAACCTTTCGAAAAACGGGCCCCAGAAGCGAATTGATAGCCGTCTGCGTCTACTACTGACAATACACATTACGATGATTTGTACGTGTGAAGAAGATAATCGTAGTAGTTCTCGGCAGTACAGTCACACCCCAGACAGTTTTCGTTGTCCCTGGGGAAAGCCCTTAAATTTTCTCTAGATTCAAACAACGGGCACTTATTTCTTGCCCAATCAACAGATCCGAATAAAAGTTAACCTCGCTAATGCGGACAGTTCTTTAACTTTGCGCTGTAATCCTTTCCATCGACAGCATGTCGATGTCCTTAGTGCCACAGTTGTAGTATAAAAAATAGGAGTCCTGTTACACCCCTCTTTTTGTCCACGAGTAAGCCTCCATTCTTCACTGATAAAACAGACTTCCTCGTAAATAAATTTTTGCTGTCCTTAGTCCGCTCGGCTAGCAAATTTGTTTACTAGGAAGTCTTTTTTCGAAGAATGGAGGCGTACTCGTGGACAAAAACAGGGTGGTTTAGACAGGACACCTATTTTCTATACTACACTCTTCAGGAAAACTCACATTGAACCGGGGCGCTCGTCTGTCACAGAAACGAAAACTAATTAGGGATTTGCATTGTAACAGTATACATTTCATGGCCGCCAAACGCTTCTCGAACGATGTTTTGGAGATGTTGCGGATCGAAGCCTGTTTCAAAAAGGTTTTAGACGCTTTTTTCAAAGAGGTTTTCAACGATGTTTTCGAAGAGAGATCTGAAGATTTTTACGAAGAAGGTGCAGAATTTTTTATGAAAAGTTTTTCGAAGACGTTTACAAAAGGGTTTATGAAAAGGCGTACGAAAAGTTTTTCGAAGTGCGTTTTGAAGGTGTTTTTGGAAAAGGTTTCGAAGAGTTTTACGAAAAGCTTTTCAAAGATTTTTTTCAAATGTTTTCTTTAAAGTATCTATTCGGAGAAGCAAATACTGCCCAGAATTTTCTATTACTTGAGGACGGCTAAATGTGTTTAGATTACCATTCCATCATGTACAATTTTCGAAGCTTTTTTTTTTTTCGAAGCTTATCTTAAAAATATAATTTCCTACGATTTTCTGAAGTTTAATTTTTGCATTTTACGTCCCAGGTTAGGCTGTTTTTCATAGAAAAAGGAAACCTAAATTTTTCGGATTCAAAAATGTGATGGAGAGAGGAATTAGGAAATGTCTCACTCTCGCAATACGTTAAATTTCATCTAAAATTTTCGGGAAAATATTACTCAAGCCCGAAAAGACTAAAGTTCCCCTAGGATGACCGAACAGAGGCAAATTTTACAGCGCCGCTTAGAATGCTTTTCTAGAGTTATAAAAGTACGCTGGGTAACCTAAAAAGTGTTTTCAGTGTATTTAGGAGCAAAACGTCGTTGGGTGCCCTAAAAGAAAAACATCGCCACAATTGCCAACCATCCACAATAGGACCATACGGCCATTTTTCCCACTCCAAAGCCCTTTCCGTCGGCACTCGTGCATGGATGACAGGCCTACGTCCAAAGATTTCTTCCACCAACTTTTGCAATGTGGCCCAGGCGGAGCACCAATTGTTTTGGTGCTTCGCAAGCTCACAAAAAGAAGAACGAGAACGCAAAACACAAATTAAAAATAAGAAAATTCCGCAATGTTTACCAAACCGTACGTTTTATAGCCAAAAAAGTAGCAACCGCCAATTGGCAATAAAAAGTGGGAAAGTCTCTCGCTGGTAATCGAACTTTAGATCTCACTTCAACGCGACGTAATGGATATTGATAATTTTACGGAAATGAAACTGGTAAAAATTAAATTTTGTTGCTTGTGACTCGTTTCGCCCATTGCTTCTTGAAATGGTAACATGGACCGCGGTTTGGTGCTTTTTTGGTAAGAAAACTTTGTTTTCGTTTAAGAATGGGTTTTGACAGATCAACGGTGTTTTTGTTCGATTAATAAAACATTTTTTAGAAACCTTTTCTTTAAGAAAAATTTTGTTAATTTTTTTACTTCTCATTTATTTGCAAACTAGGAGGACCGTCAATATAAAATCTCATGTTTAACAATTATTCCTCGAGCCCGAATGGGCTATTGACTCAGGGCCATGAGGGCGAGAGGAATAATTGTTTTAGTAAAATCCAACTAGTTGGTCAAAAATATCGAGAATAAAAAACTTTTAGTTAGTTAAAGCTAGAATTTAATCGTTTTTTGCCGCCTAAAAGCCCGCGCTTTTCGCTGCTACTGGGCTATAACATATAGCCTAGTAGTAGCTCCTCCAATCAGAATAGACCACTAGTTGGATTTTACTAATTATTATCATTCTTTTCATAAAATGTTCGTTTAATAAGGTTAGGTTGAATTTTATTTCTTGCAGTGAGCAGTTTTACTCGGCCCTCAGTGAGTAGCGGCGGTCTTCAACAACTTCATTAAATCACACCTACCTCTTCCCACGTATAGTTTAGGTAAATCTTTACAGACGTCCCACAGCAAGTTTCTGCAAGTGAACCCTCTGGTTTACAGCCACTTTCCCCTCAATGTGTAAGAATGGAGCTCCGCCTCTCGTTGGAGTCCGTGAGTGATTGACACATTCGTTTATAGACCACGCCCCCTTTCTGCTCAGTCCCTCAACGCACGTGGCTGTATCGAGTTGCTATGATAATAAAATAGTCAATGGGCCCAAATTCCTATCATCAAAACAATAACTATTATTATTGCTTTCATAATTCACGCTTTGTCTATTGTACTGACAAAATTTTCGTTATAATTTAGCAAACATAGCATATTTTTTACCTTTTGTCTAAACTTAGCGCTTCCAGCAAAATCTGGCATTTTTTTGTTTTTAACATGTTGTTAGGTTTTCTTACTATTAACGCTTTTTTTTGCGGAACGTGTAAAAAAGATGAGTTGAGAAAAAAAAACCATGACATATAATAACATAAAGAAACAAATCCTTAATTCTACGACAGTCGTTACACAACGCGAAATATCATTTCATCAACGCAAAACATGACTTAACAATTGACAAACGCTACTTGGAATTAACAACACACTTACTGAAAAACACAACAACACACCTAACTACGTTATACACTAAGTATCACACTAAACACTAAACAGACGCTACCTGAAATAACCAAATATATAACTGCTTTATTAGTTAAAGAAGTTGTGGTGTAGCTAAAGTTCCTTTAACGGCAAGAGATGTTATTATTTTCGTAACTACTGCGCTAGCACGAGTAGTCACTTTTGCCATCGAGTTAGTTTTCCGAAAGTGAGTAAGAGTAACAATAGAATATACTTCGCAGCCAATAAGCATACAAATATAACCATTTTTCGGAATCTTTCGTCGCGACTATGAGTATGATTTGTCGATTGTCCTCGATGGTAAAGGAAATGCTAGGCTGCCTCGTGGTCTGCTTTGACAGCTTAGTGAGACAAGCTGCGCGTATTCAAGTTTGAAAAAATGTTGCCGTATAACTGAATGAAAACGCAATGAAATACGTCATATCTTCTTGAAGCGTACCTTCACTTCTCATCTTCAAAATAAGTCCAGAAACCACGATATTTGTATAACAGATTTCTCTGCTCCAAATCAGCTCCTGTGAAAACATTTACCTCGTCCCTGTAGGATGTTTTTCCAGGCCGCCGGATGGGGACTCCTAGACAAAAACAGAATACGCATGCGTGCGTTGCTTTTTGGAATTCAAGATGTTGTAAACGGCAGGAAATTATGGTTTTTTAAAAAACCCTTGTGGATATTTGTTAGATCGACAACCTCGCTTCTTATCTCGGTTATGTCGTTGGCAATAATGGAGCTACACAGGTTAAACGAACAGCATTAGATTGAGCAGTTTTTCATTGCATCGTAAAGAGAAAAAGATTGATAAAGATAAGATCCAACCTAAATTATTTTATGAACCGTTTTCCTCTCAAATCTCTTCCCAACCAACGGCTATGAAGAAAACATATTTAACAATTATTCGTCGAGCCCGAATGGGCTCTGAGTCAATAGCCCATGAAGCCGAAGGCCGAATGGGCTATTCGGACTCTGAGGCCATGAGGGCGAGAGGAATAATTGTTTTAGTAAAATCCAACTAGTTGGTCCAAAATATCGAGACAAAACAAATTTAATCTAGTTAAAGCTAGACTTTGATCCCTTTTTGCCGCCCAAAATCGGTCGCTCTTTGTAACTAGTGGGCTATAACATATAGCCTAGTAGTAGCTCAACCAATCAGAACGTAGCATTGATAATAGACCACTAGCTGGATTTTACTAAGACGAAATGTCCAACATTACTGAGACCTTTCAATTAGACTGGGAAATAATTTATTCCTTTACTTTTCAAAATAACACTGAACAAAGTTAAGATAATTTTACTACCAAATACCTCATAGAATCTGTTATACTAACGCTAAGTTCAAATTTAGTTGCATATCGGATCTATAAAAGATCTACGGCCCCAAAATACCTAAGGACAGAACCATGCAAGAATTACTGACAGTATATCGGATCTATAAAAGATCTACGGCCCCAAAATACAAAGATCCGATATGCTGTAATTCTTGCATGGTTATGTAGATCCGATATGCTGTAATTCTTGCATGGTTCTGTCCATGTTTTGGCCAATCCTTTATTTTCTTTGCGAGACATCAACTTGACACTTGGACTCTTGCTCCCCAGAAGACACGTGGTATAGCGTGATTCTGTGGGTGTTGAGGGTTCTAGGTCAGGGCTTAGATCAGAGTGCGCGGATATTTTTCATCAGATTTTACCCTGGTTGTTACACCATACTGACGAGCCCCAAAAAGGGCGAAACAGCTGTCTATGGCTACAATCCCGCTCTGTTTTTAGTTCTGTCGGTGTCGTGTTTATGTCTTGCAAAATTAATTTTCACGTGGTACGATCAGCATTGCAGTATTCTGCTTGCAAAATTTAATATGTCTACCATTCTTAAGTTGCAGTCTTCCTAACTCGTGTACTCCATGTAGCTGACCTCTTTTTCTTTTGTGGTATGATTCTTGCTTCATTCCTCGCCTGAATTTCCTTGTCATTTACAGTAGTGTTTGTTTTCTTTATGTTCTTATGTTATTTTTTTTTTAAGTTTTGCCCCCAAAAAACCTGGCAACGGGTTTAAAACAAAAAATGCCAAATTTTGCTTGGAGTGCTAAATTTAGATAAACGCTCAAAAATATGCTCTGTTTGCTAAATTATGTCAAAAATTCTGTTAGCACAATCGACAAAAGCGTAAATAATTAAAACAATAATAATAGTAATTGTTTTGATGATAGCTGTATTATTGACGTATTATCATAGCAACTGGATACAGCGACGTGCGACTGAGCAGAAAGGGGCGTAGTCTTTTAACAAATTTGTCAATCACTCGTTGTCAGCAACGAGAGGCGGAGCTCCCTTGCTCATACGCATACTCATGTATATATATGTGCAGGAAAAGTGGCTATAAACCAGAGGTTTCACTTGCAGAAACTTGCTGTTTGCGACGTCTGTAAAGATTTACCTAAACTGTATCTGGGAAGAGGTAGGTGAGCTTTAGTGAAGTTATTGAAGAAGCACTTGAATTAATTTGTCATATTCTTGACCACCGCTACTCATTGATAAAAGTGCTCAGTAATGGAAACAGCAAAATTGAAGTATTCCGTAAATGGCTTTGAGCTAAAGTGTTGACAGCATCAACTCAAAGAAAGCCAACAAAGGAATCAAATTGAAGCGCAAACCAGTTGTGAGTCTTGAAGTTTTAAACACTTTTCGATCTGAACTGTGAGCGAAATACCACCCAGCCTTTCTTTTAGCGAAATTACCTGAATTTTCATGTAGACTCTTCTAGTGACCCTGTTGGAGTCAAATTCCTCGACTTGCTGGATACATTCAATCCTGAACAATACATAAACTCATCACAGTGGCCACACCCTTGACCTCGTGATCACTAGATCTGACGACCATGATCTTATTTCACATGTATCCGTGACTGATCCAGCAATCTCCGATCACTATGCTGCGCTCTGTATGATATCCATAACAAAACCATGTTATCCCCGAAGAGAAATTAATTGCAGGAAATTGAAGTCCATCGACATGGAGGGATTTGTTAAGGGCATTAGCAATTCATGTCTAACAGATGCTAAGTACGCTGAGAACGTTACTGATCTAACATCCCAGTATGATGGGACCCTCTTGTCAATACTTGATCATGTAACTTCTGAAATTGATTACTGTAAATCACCTTTGTCTGGTTTCCCTCAGCATTTGTTGCAAAAATTCCAAGAACGTGTTTGAAATGTTGCGGCCCGTCTCCTCAAATACTCAAAGAAATACGATCATTATATATTTCCCCGATCTTGAAGGAACTACTTTGGTTGCCCGTCAAGACAAGGATTGAGTTCAAGATTTTAATTTTGACTTTTAAAGCATACCACGAAATTGGATGTAAATATTTAACAGACTCTTTAATTAAATATACACCTAGCAGAACACTCCCCTCCACCAACAACGGATTGCTAGTAGTCCCTAAGTATAATCTTGAGTCCTATGGAAAGCGCGCTTTTTCAGTCATTGCCACCTCACTGTGGAACCGTGATTTACCAGACCAAACAAGAATACAGCATGCTTTTAAATTTCTTTTGGGAATGGAGTTAAGAACTTTTTATTTAGCCGTTCCTTTTAGATTTTTCTTATGTTTTTGTGACGTAGTTGTATATATTTTAGTAACTTTTTAGATTTTTTTTACAAGTAGTAACCTTGTTAAGCGTCATTGGTTATCTAGTAGAAATAGCGCTCTATAAATAACTTATTATTATTATTAAATTGTTCCGACTGTAGCACAAATTTCCAATAACAATATCTATCTATCTTAATAAATGTAATCAGTTAGGTCCGAACTTCTCAGAGCCAGTTTCTTTTCATTAATTAACAATTAATGAATGAGGCTGAGTATCTTATGAAGAATTATGGAGCTCCAGGAGGGTGTTATCCGTCGAGGCCGTAAGCCGAGGCGCATAACACCCTCCGAGATCTCCATGATAGCCCACTTGCACTAAGAGGTCACGTTCTTGCCATGTTTTTAGCTATAATTTCGCCTAGTTCTTACTCTTGAAACGAGTGAAATGTCCGCCATGTTTTGTTTTCACAAACAAAACAACTCAACCTCGTCCCCAGGTCTTCTCGGTTAACGGTGCATTAACCGGCAAGAACGCTGCATTTTTGACGTCATTTCCTCGTTAAACACAAAATTCTTCCAAATTTGGTCATCAGTAACTGGTTATGGTGAATTATGCGTGAGCTTTTAGCCAATCAAAATCGGGGAAATATTTTGAATGAATAACAACGTTATTTAACTACGTGCTCATGTTTTTCAGGCGAGGCTCAATTATGTCACGTCTTATTTTCGTTTTTCTTGCGATGATTCTTATCGTCTCCGAGTTTTGCCCGTGAAAAGGTATGTTAGTTTATAGATTGAAGGCATTTTCCTTTAGGCGTGACTAATGCATCATGTCAAACTTTTCCAAAACGAACACTGAGTCCCCGTAACTTGTAGATTATCAGTAATCGACTCAGTGTTACTTGTTGAATTTTACTTGTTTGTATAATGGCATTCGTAAAATTGCACAAAACAAAAATCTCATGTATCATTCAGTAATTTTACTTTACCGTGAACAGTTAGTTAAAAATTTGCGTATTGGCAAAGTTTGACATGCTTTTTCCACTGAGGAACATCTCTTGCTGATTGTGCTTAAGCTTAATAGAGGTTATCTAATTCTTTAATCATTGACTGAAGTGCTTTGAATCCTCATCATGGCATATACTCTTAGTGTTATTGTTTACACTTTCACTTTACCACCAATTTTTTTTTCCGTCACAAAAACCAGAATGGATGTTCCTTTATTCTTCAAACTTGAAGAGCAAATTTCGGCACAGGCCTTTCAAACAGGATTGCATGCATAAGCAGAAGAAATTGACTGTTGTGCTTTTTAATATCTCCTGACTGCAAACGGGCTATAAGCTTTCTTAAAAAAGCTTTCAATCTTCTCACATGTTTTTCAGTGCTGGTGGCCTTGAGGATAAGAGTCAGACGAGCAAGCGTAATGCCATGTATTACTGGCCCAAACAAAATTTGAGGAAGTTTGATTCCAAGCGTAATGCCATGTATTTCTGGCCCAAACGAAATTTGAGGAAGTTTGATTCCAAGCGTA